ATATAGATACTATATTTAAACACTATTATATTTGTGTTTATAAGTGTTCATGTTTATAAATATGTATTATATAATATATAGTATATTACATAAATATTTGATATAATATATAAAAATAAAGCTGGAAACTGCTCTATTTGCCAAATTTATATGCATTTTCCTAAAAGCATTTAATGCTTGTTTTTGTATTGAGGCTTGCTTGTCCACTGTTGCATAGTTCCTGCTGAAGTCGGGAGAATGTGCGAGTGTGATATGGTGCACTGTCTTAGTTACCTTTGCACCATGGTGGCAGGGACTCCGGGCAGAAGAATTTAGGAGAGGAAGGTATTATTTTAGGTCAAGATTTTGCAGATTTTTCTGTTTATGGCAATGAGGAAGGTTAGAGGCGGGAGCAGCTGTCCACATGGCCTGGACAAGGAAGCAGAAAGAGCAGGCCAGAACCAGGGACAGTCAAGACCTTCATGGCCCACCGCTAGTGATCTACTTCAGCTAGCTGAGCCCACCCCCTAAGCTTCAGCCTTTAGGACAGGCCTACATGCTGGAGAGGGACATTTAGGACATGAGCCTCTGTGAGACATTGCAGATTCAAACTGCCACATCCATACATTATATTAAGACCTTGCCTTCTGACTAGATCAGATATCTTGTTCTAAGTTTCTATGAAACTTTCCCCTTCAGTTTTGGTATTTGCAACCTAACTTTTCTATCTTTCTCTGGAGACTGCATTAAAAAAATATATCTTTTGCTTGTACAGTTAGAAGCTTAGAACAGTTCCTATGTGTGTAAATGAATGACTCGAACGAATGAACGAATTGAGAGCCTGCTGTGGCTCGCCGTGCTTTTGTTTGGGAAAGCAAAACAGAAGACTTTTTTTCTACTGTCAGTCTTCTCAGTGAGGCATTGCTGGTCTGACGCTTCTGCACAATGTCCTTTCCGCAACGGACGAAAACCTCTCAAGTTGTTAAAGAGGAAGAGCTACGGCGGACGCAGCTGAAAGGCGGCCTTTTCCTCACTAGAGAAGCCAAGCCCACACATCTTGCCCACAATCTTGGAGTGTATGTATGGTAGGTTTTGTGAGTTGATTTGTTCTTCCCAAGAGAAATAACTGAAAATCTGCCACTCTGCCACCTCAACCAAGTATTCTAGGAATACTTGAAAGCAGGAAGAGAGCCTTGTAACAGAATCCCGTCCCTCACCTTGGTGCTTAGGAAGAACGTATCCTGCCAGCGCTAGACTTCCGGTTTCCACACACGAGCAACAAAGCTTTTTCTTTTTAAGCCACGCAGTTTGTGGTACTTTGTTATGACAGTCTAAAAAATTAACGCAGTTATCCATGCTCTCAGAAAGAATACGTTGTTTATTTAAGAGAATTCTGTAAGAACTGTTAGGTTACCGGAAAGCAAGAAGGATGAGGCTAATGAAAGGAGAACAATTGCAAAGCAGGGAAGGGGGAAATTTAACTGCTGAAAACATGTAAACGAACATGCCGAAAATATCCACCGTCAACAAAACATTTTTATTCTTTAGCTGTATGGAAGGAGGCTCTGACTCTCCTCCATCCAAGAGGAAGCTAGAGGGATGTACTCACGAGGAGATGGAGTGTGGCTAGGGCAAGTCTGAGCGAGATGGAGTATTTATTTCCACATTGTGTGCTGCAAGCAGAATTGGCATTGTATTAGGTAGGGTAGGGTAATGAACGTCACCATCTTGGTGGCTCAAGTTGGAAGGTGATCAGTGCCCTCAAAAAAGCAGGAGGAATTCTATATAGGTAATATTTAAAATCAATTAAACTTTTCTTCACCCCGAAGGGGGCCTGGGTTGTACTAATGTCCCACCATCACAGACATCTGGAATTCTAGAAAAAAAAACATTAAACCATACTTTCTTTCTCTACCTCAAGAGGCAAGTAGGAAGTCACCTCTGCTAGACAAGAGAAATTGTACTAGTATGAAATTCTGACTCTGGCCAGAGTTTGTCTTACAGAAGACAAAGGAGATGAGAAGAGGGACCTTGTAGGCCTTAGAAATGATGGCTAATGTAAGGACAACCCATCTAGGTTTTGTGTTTAAGGAAGGTCATCATTCCATCCAGCTTTGTAGAGAGTCAGCCCAAGAAGTCCTAGACACATTGGAAGACATGATGAAAATAACACAGAGAGGGGATATGGCACAGCATCATGTAAGAGGCTGAAATGTGTTAGCTGCATCCTGGGTCTGAGCACATTTTTCTTACCCTGTGGGACATTTTCAGTTCAAAACAAATACAAAGAATGGATGGAAATAACAAGGAACAAGTGTTGTGTCATTTATGGAACGGCTCTTTAGTATTTGGCTGGGCATCTCGCCTGTCTGGGTAGTGAGTTTCCTGCAGTGAGAGTTGCTCAAACAGGGACAGGGAATTAATTACTCTGGACTGATGTTATAGGGGTAATTCAAAGAAATAGCAGTTGGATAGGTTGCCCAGTAAGTCCTATGAAGTCTGGATTTCCACTTTGGAGATTAAGGCAAGACCTCCCTATGAGCGACACATTGAGTTAAAATGATGACTCTGAGCAGGCATTAGCCAAGACACATAGATGAGAGATGGGGACAAGGGTAGACCTGCAAATATGGATCCTGGACAATTGGCTTGTCTGGGAACTAGAAAAAAATCAGAGGGGAGCAATTAAAGTGAGGCCGGAGAGAGAGGAGGGGAGGACGAGGGAGCAGGTCACACAGAACATGGCAATTCCAAAAGCAATGGCTGCCTTTGCAGGGTAGTGAACAGAGGCATCTTCTCCTGGGAATTCATTGTTTTTAACTCTCTAATGGGCTTACAATATCTGTTTATATAATCCTTATTGATCATGACTCCTCATCCTCATGGAGATACAGAAATGATACATAGCAATTAAGATACTGAATGATCTGTAGGGCCCCGTTTGGTAGGGATAAAGTGCCTGCTAAAACCTCTGCCCCAAGATCGAGGAGAGTCAATAACACCAGCCTCAGGGAAGAGTGGAGACACCCAGAGCTCCTTAAATGGGACATCAAGATTTGCATAAAATGTTGATGCTACATGCGACGTTTATTTCTATTCGGCTCAACACTGTCTTGTGTAACTCTAAGTTTTTGTGCAAAAAAAAAAAAAAGTTCAAAAAAGTTAAAGTATCATCTACCCATGAGTGGCAACTCCTAAAAGTCCACATTCCTGCAGACGTGAAGGTTGTCTGCTGGTAAAGTGATTAAGTGTAGAAATGGCATCTAGGCAACGAACCCATGTCCTTCCTGGATTTCCTAGCGGCCCTGAGGGGTCTGTGGAAGACAGTCCCATGCTAAGCACTTGGTCTCACAGATCAAAAGCACATCGTTGTGTGCGTGTCTGCTTGAAAAAAGTTTGCTTTTAAGTTAGGAATATTGCTGCCTTCTAATATCATTCTCTTTGTCCACTTCGTGAGCAAGTTTTATTTCCCTGAATAAGACCAAACAAATTCAGTGTGCAGGTTCTGCTGCACGCGCCCGACGTGGAGCTCTTCCCTTAAACATTCATAAACACATGTGCATGTGTATGCAAGCGCGCGTGCATGATCCCTTGATTCCTGTACTTAAATCTCTGCCAAACCTTTTTAAATAAACTCAATTATGCTTTTAAAACAAACAAACAAACAAACAAACAAACAAACCCCAAATTCATATCAGTGACGTTTGAATAAGTATTTTCACCTTGGGCTTGTCTTGGATTACCAAAATACAATCACACATTTAAATAAATTTAGAAATTAGAAAATAAACTTTTTTGTACAGAATATTTCACTCGGCAGTCGCTCCAAGGCCGGCGCGCATGCCTCTTGCCTCCGAAAGCATTCTGAGGGTCAAGTTTTCTCTGATGGTAGTCTTAGGGGACTTTCTTCCCCAACTCACTGTTCAGTTTCAGGCTAAATGGTACAGGTGCCCGCATCAATTTTATATAATTACAATCGATATTTTGGGAAGCCTGTGGCTGTTGTGTTTAATTAAAAACTTAAGGGGGAGTGTGTGAGATACCTTGCTTTTTAAAGAGTATGTTTTTATAAGGCAGAAATGCAGAAAAAAAGAAAAAACTTCTTCCTTCCTTTCTCTTTCTTTCTCTCTCTCTTTCTTTCTTTCTTTCTTTTTTTTTTTTACTGATGTAATATTTCAAATAATTTTTATACATCTCAATGAGATCAGTGGGAAGAGTTTGTGGTAAGCAAAACTGACAACATAAAGTTGAAGATCATATAAGCATGACCAAAATAAACCCCACAAAGTATCACACACTCTTCATATATCTTTCATAGCCTAAGAATGAATAGTCCACTAAACACACAACATGTTTTGTAATAAATCTCATTGCTGTTACATTAACTAACTCCTCTAGATAAATCTCTGAGAAGGCTAGATAAATCTCTACAGAAGCTAGATAAATCTCTAGGAAGATGATGTGCCATATAGTAGATATGGGAACATGTGGAAGCATGGAACTTCAAACAATATATACATACATACACACACACACATACTAAGCATTAATTAATTATTGATATCCAATCAAGGCTTAAAAACAAACATTTTAAATGAATTTAAATGAAACAGTCTGTCTTTCTGAACTCCAATGGTTACAACTTAAACTTTTAAACAACAGAGAGAACCCCTCCAGTGATATCTTAACTCGGTTTTGTTATTTCTTAAAAATAACAGAGCTGTGTGTGTGTGTGTGTGTGTGTGTGTGTGTGTGTGTGTGTGTGAAGATTGCCAGGGGAATGGGATTTGACTTGCCCCTTTAGAGCCAGTCTTTGCCTTTTTCCTGCTCTGCCCTGATGTCCCAGGAACAACTCTAGCATCAGCCCGCTCCTCGAGGTCACTGTCACCGGCCTTGAGATACAAGCTTGGGACCACTGAGGAGGGCTACTACCACCCCTGTACCCGCCCCAGCTGGGATCCAGCAAGCAGGAGCCTGGCGGGTCCTCCTGCCATGCCGCCCTGGAGGCGCGACCCTCCTACCTGCTTGTCCCGAGGCGGCCAGCAGCAGCAGCAGCAGCAGCGGGGGCGGCAGCGGCGGCAGGGCCGGGCGGCGGGGCGCCGGGGTCCCGGGGGCGCGCATGGGCAGTCAGCTTGGGTCACATCTGGGGAACGAGGTCCCCCCAGGGCTCCTCTCCCAGCGCGGGACCCCGGGCGATGGAGCCCAGAGTCCGCCGCGCGCAGCAGGCTTCTCCCGTAGGGTGGCCCCGCGCCAGGGACGCTCTTTGGGTTCCAGCCCACGGACTCAACCGGTGACAGAGGTCAGCGCGGATAAAGGCTCAGCTTGCACAGCACAGCCTTATCCGTCGCTCGAAATGTCAGACTTCACCCCGGAGGAAGACGCTGGAAGAGTGAAATAGACACATCTTTCTCAGCCTACTGTTGGACTTGATGCCTTCCCTCCTTCAGGATTCTGAGCCCCCGCCACCCCCACCACCTGAAGCCAGGTGTCTTTGCTATTTACAGAAAAGCAGGGGCAACCTCAAGACCCGGCCCATGGCCTGAAGTCTCCCAACCCCCTGAGGCGGTCCGCCAACCGAGAGAGAAAGAAATGGGATCAGTGTGAGAAAAATCTGCAAACAGATCTCACGGGTGGTCCTTTCCAGGTAGCTGTAAATATTAAGCAAGACGCGAAAACAATCAAATTAATTATTTACTTCAGGCATGTTCTCTGTTTCCTCCAGAGACTCCTGTTGCAAATGCATAAATAAAGGAAAATGATGCTAAAACTGGATCAACTGCCATTAGGAAGAAAGGAGTCTCAATAACACACACAAACACAAAACAAAAACTAACAAGCTCACACACCTCTTTGTTTTGTGGTGGAGGTAGTTAGAGATGCAGCAGTTTTCGGAGGGTGTTAAGTTTCTGTTTTCTTAACTCTCAAAGAGTCAGAGTTCAGCTTGGGCTGTCTCAGGAGGGTTAAAGCGGGTCCCGCGTGCCAGTTGCGCCTCTGGTTCCCACCGGAAGGGGGCACTAGAGGAGAAAGGACAGGATTTGTTTGTTTACTAGCAGTTCTCTTAGTAATTCTCTTCAGGTCTTTACCAGGGCAGAAGCACCTTAGTTCCAACAGTCTTTAGTCCTAGCATCCAAGACTCTGCCTTAACGGCCGGACCCAATTCTCATGGGTCCGAATCTCCACTTGGTGAAATTCCTTTACCTTCTATGTAGTCCTTATGTCCTTTTCTTTCTACAGCCCTAAAAGTGGAAATTGCGATCAGTAGCTAGTCAGTTTCAATCTTAGCCTTACTTAGCTTTCAGCTCTCCGACATCTGCCTGTTAAGATAAACATTGTGTTTCTCACCTTTTCTCACAAACTGGTCTCTTAATAATTCACATGCAATTCCTGCACATCGTAAGAAGCATTTCATGCTAGTAATGTATTATTTTTATATCAATGTTGGGACATGCATGAACTTCAGTTTAAATATGACTCACCCATAGTCTTAAAGGGGCTAGCTCAAGCAGACACTTTCCTGCCCCTCTGTTGGGAGATAATCAGCGTCCTGCTTTCTTAGGCTATAGGTTGGGAGACAGCCAGATCCTGCCGTCTCTGCTAGGAGTACTTTTGGGCGCCTAATCCAAGGTTCACTTGATTTTCCCCACAGTGATGAACCTTATCGTTGAATTATAAATCGAAATAATGCTAATCAAGTGCTCCCAAGGTGCTTTTTGGCAGGGTGTTTTCACCTCAGAAACGGAAATGAAACTAGAACACCAGGTATGATATATAATCTTGATACTATGAAGCCAGTGAATTCTTCATTTGAGCGAAATAGTGCAGGAGGAATCTGACATGTGCCGACTCCTTTAATGCCAACAATCCCGTGAATTAGTCATATTACCAGAGTTTCAAAGGAAGGAGACAGGTTTGGACAGGCTGCTCTTAAGAGCAAGAGAAGTGGAACCAGAGTGGTTTCAAAGTTTGTGTTTATAATATTTTCCTTTTATGGCCCTAACATTTAAGAAAACGAGGTGAAAAACTCTGAGGTTTGAACTGTATAGATTAACAGGTCAGTTGAAATGCATACTTGTTAATTTATGTTTCTAGCTTATAAACTGCATAGTGAATGGGAAAAAAATGCTCATTCCTGAAAATCAAGTATAGTCAGAGCATGTCTGTGTAAATAAGACTGCTTTGAAAGTAAATTTGAGTTGGTGGCAGTTACAGAAAAAAAATTGGTGATATCAAGTTCTTTGGCTGAGGCTGGGATACAAATGCCGAAAAAGTCTGGGGAAGGGGCAATAAGCATCCAGGGTGTGCGTGGCTCTTAAGGTCTTTTTAGTTATTCTGTCATTCTGTGTAAATTTAGAGAGTCCTAGGAGCTGTTTGCATTACACCATCCACTTAAATACAAATTTTATCTAACATATAAAATCAGAATCCGATCCCATCAACTCTTCCACCAAACCATTTTGTTTAATCGTTTTTGAGAAATCGGCTATACTTTTCAAAAAGAAAAGTAATTCTTGGATATACTCAGTGGCAGAGCACTTGATCAGCATTTACAAAGCCTGAGTTCAATCCCAGCCCTGGAAGACAGTTGTAACTTGAAGCATAATATCCAAAGAGACGCCTGAGCAAAGCAGATGCTGTAGCTCTCCAGATCATCACAAAGGGAATGTGCTGGTACACCCTGTGCAAGGCCAGGAACCAAAACAGCGTTCCTTCACCAGTTAGCCAGCTAGCAGCCTTCATCTTAGAATAATTCAGAGTTTCTCTCCCATCTGGCGCCCTTCACTGAACATTACACTTACTAATGTGTAGTGTTCCGAACAAAAATGGCCCCATGGGCCCACAGGAAGTGGTACTATGAGGAGGTGTGGCATTGTTGGAATACGTGTGGCTCTCTTGGAGGAAATATGTCATTGGGGGGTGGGCTATGAGGTTTCTGATGCTCAAGCCAGACCGGTGGCTCACTGTTTCTTCTTGCTGCCTGATGATCTGGATATAGAATCCTCAGCTCCCTCTCCAGTACCTTGTCTGCCTGAATCCCACCATGCTTTCTGCCGTGACAATAATGAACTAAAGCCAGCCCCAATTAAAAATTTCCTTTATTAGTGTAGAGAGGTGTTTCTTTACAGCAATAAAGCCCTAACCAAGACAAAATGTTATCCATGTTGGGGCTGGAGAGATGGCTCGCTGGTTAAGGGCACTTGCTGCTTTCTCAGAGGACTCAGGTTTGGTTACCAGCGCCCGTATGGCAGCTCACAGCTGCTGGTATCTCCAGTTCTCAGTGATCTGGCTCCCTCTTCTGGCTTCATGGGCACCAGGTATGCATGGGATGTAATACATACAGGCAGGCATGCATTCATATGCATAAAATAAAAATAAGTGTCTTTAAAAATAAAATTTAAAAGTCATCCATGTTGCTGCTTATAGCTGTAGAACTATCCATTTTATGACTATCCCTCAAGTTATATATTCATTCTGTTGTTGCTCATATTGTTTCTAGTTTGGCTCTTCTGGCTATTGTACTCTTCTGAGAGTTCTTGCATATCCCACTTGTACATTTCTGTATACTTCCAACATCTGTATAATTAGGGACACAATTTCAAGGCCATAAGTCAGATGCAATTTTAATTTAAAATAATTTGTGCCCAGCTAGGTTTCCAAAGAGATTGTGCCAATTTTCATTCTTTTGTTTGTTTGTTTGTTTGTTTGGCGGTCCTTGATTTGCTTTGTAGGCCAGGCTGGCCTTGAACTCACAGAGCTCTGCCTGCCTCTGCCTCCCTGAGTGCTGGGATTACAGGTGTGCTCCACCGTGCCCGGCTCAGTTTCATTCTTACTGGCTCTCAGTACTTCCACATTTGCTTACTTCATACCTGTGGATGTTCTAGAGGGCAGGTAATACACTGTGGGTTTCATCTGCATTTTTCTGATGATGGCTGGCACGGAGAGTTTTTAAAGTTTTTATTTTTGACAATATCATACTTGTCTATACTGTAGTGTGATCCTATTCTCCCTCTGTTGCCAGCTTCTATTTCCCTTTCCCATTAATCTCTTTCTTTTTCCTAACTAATACCTCTTCTACTTTCAAGTCAGGTGTGTGTGTGTGTGTGTGTGTGTGTGTGTGTGTGTGGTCTAGATCTTGTATGAGTCTTCACAGCTGCTGTGACTATAGCGGTCATACAGTATCTAGAAGATAGCACTATAGCATTACTTCCTATCCTTTGGCTCACACAGTTTCTCCATCCTCCTTTCTGTAATGTTCCCTAGACCTGAAGTGAGTAATATAGCTATCCTGTTTAGGGCTTTGACGAGCAGTGGGTCTCTCTTTGATGCATTGACAGAACAGGTTTCTCTGAGCAGGACTCACATCTCCATTAGTCCAAGGACATAATCATACATATTTGGTAGGTAATTTAACTATATGTATATTTAACAAAATATACATGGTAGGTTGTTCCCATAGGTCCTGTAATTTCTGTAGCCATAGGACTTTTTAAGATCAGGATTACAGTACCAAGCACGTGGAACAAAATTCAGATTCAATTTGGAGGTGTTTGGTGACCCCCTGAACCATAATGTCACTATTGTAGCAATGAGTGTAACTGACATGGCAGAATAGCACTGGAGCACACAGGGACCACAGCTGAGTGAGATCACTGATGCTGACTCATTTCTACAACAGCGTGTGTAGATCCTTCTGCCGCTCCAAACACCAGCCAAAAGGGAGGAGACTGCCAGTGTAGCTCCAAAGTGGAGCCACAGAGAAACACATATATTCAAAATGTGTAGTGTCATCTGCAATAGACTCTTACTGTCTAGTGCTCGCGGGGTCTAAGAGAAGCAGTAAGCGTCCTGAACACGTGCATTAGTCCCTTGAATTATGATGGTGAGTGCTGCTTGCCATCTCGGCCGGATCCCCAGGACACAATACTTTGAGGATATTGCAGGGAAGAAATTTTCAGAGAGGCTTTACTGAAGAAGGAAGACCCTGAAAGGGGGTGGTATCATCTTTTTAGTGGGGTCCCGAATGAATTTTTAAAGAGACAGTAAACAGAACAGCAGCAGACACAACGTAAAAGGCTGCCTTAAGCCCCTGCTGCTACAAGCCCCATGCCATGACGGACTGTGCCCTCCAACAACTGTGAGCTAAAATAAACCCTTCCTCCTTTAAGTCATTTTTGTGGGGTATTTTGCCACAAGAATGTGAAAAAGTAATGGTCACACGGAATACTTTTTTAATTAAGAACTTTCTTGGATTTTTTTCAGTTAGATTGTCTTATTTTTATTTCTATTTATTTATTGTATATGTGGATGTGGGGTAGGAAAGTGTATGTATTAATACCTGTGTGTTCAAGTGAGAATACTTTCTACTGAATGGAAAAGGCAGACGCACAAGAATACAGACCACCATATGGTCCTGTTAATAAGAAAATTAAGAAGAGTTGAACAAATCAAGTATGTACGTCAAAACAGTGCCTTTCTGTGAGGTGGGGCTATTCCCCTCTGCAGTTCTGGAAACCTGTATTTGGAGGTAGGGTGGGAAGATGTATGTGTGTGCATGATAATATTGAAATCACTGTGCCTTATGCACGTTATCTATCTTATATCTTAATTTAAAATAAAAACTAGTTTCAGCTGGTTGATTTGTAGTACTTGATAAATGATCTTAAAATTTATATGAAAACATAAAAAGTGAAAAAAATAACTAAAGTACTTAAATGAGAACAAGGTAAAGGAATTGTTCTATTGACAAAAAGACAAAGTCTTGTACATTAACATTAGATAAATAGATTAAGGGAACAGAATAGCGCCCATAAACAAACCTTTTTTTGATCCACTCAAAATTTTATCTTCTTTTTCTTGTTAGTGTGTTTCATAAGCTTTTCTTTCTTTTTATAACAGAGTCTTGCTACATGATCCAG